AAATGATACAAAAAACCCTTTCCTAAAGTGAAGGAAAAGGGTATACAGGTGAAATAGGTAGTTCTTGATAACTGGCTGTTTGGTAATTAAGAACTTGTGGAGCTATCTATGTGTAAATACAATAAATAAACGTGTATCAAAGTGGGCATGGCATCTATTCTTACCATGTGGGGAGATTGGGTTAATCTGAAGTTGACAGGATGGTAAGAATGCATGCCCTGTCTATTGTATCTTATTGTTCGTTGATTGTCTTTACACATAGATGGTTCCACAAGTGCTTAATCACCTATTACTAGTCCTCTCTCACTCACCTGCTTGCCCTCTTCCTTGATTTTTATTTTCATCTTTTATTGCTATAAGTATTATTAATAACATTATCATAATCCAGAAGTCAACAATAATAACATTTATATCAGTAACACTTGGAAAAAAAAAAAAATATCCAGAAAATTCAAGGAAAAGGAAAATCAGTTGAAGACATTTTTGACTTACTAACTGGCACCATGGCAGCTGAGCACTTGTAGAGTCATCTATGTGCAAACAAAATTCACAAAAGAAAGTGACATTAACTGGCTACTAATTATGTGTAAGGGTACATCATGGGAAAATAATTGAGGGGATGAAAATGACTTCAACTGTTGATTAAAACAGTTCATTAAAATTTAGATATATAATTTACAAGATCTTTCTCTCTTTCTCTCTTTCTCTCTCTTACTCACTCACTCACTCACTCACTCACTCACTCACTCACTCACTCACTCTCTCACTCTCTCACTCACTCACTCACTCACTCTCTCACTCTCTCACTCTCTCACTCTCTCACTCTCTCACACTCTCACACTCTCACACTCTCACACTCTCACACTCTCACTCTCTCACACTCTCACACTCTCACACTCTCACACTCTCACACTCTCACTCTCTCACTCTCTCACTCTCTCACACTCTCACACTCTCACTCTCTCACTCTCTCACTCTCTCACTCTCTCACTCTCTCACACTCTCACACTCTCACTCTCTCACTCTCTCACTCTCTCACTCTCTCACACTCTCACACTCTCACACTCTCACTCTCTCACTCTCTCACTCTCTCACACTCTCACACTCTCACACTCTCACATACTCTCTCACACTCTCACACTCTCACACACACACACACACACACACACACACACACACACACACACACACACACACACACACACACACACACACACACACACACACACACAAATCCAGGCTCCTCACCATGAAGCCAAAGAACATGGCTGCAGCCGAGAAGAAATGCCAGATGTCGTGAGTGTCGTAAAAGTGAAGCAAGACGCACTCCTGGTTGAACTGTCGGCTGTGCGCGGGAGTGAGTTCCCACGTGGTTGTGTGGTGCACGTAGAAGAAGATGGCTGCGCTCCAACCGAACAGGCAAAGTAGCAAGTAAACCAAAGGTTGCAGTTGGAGGCGTTCACGGTGTCTCAGCTGGGAAGGAGTGTGGTTTTATTAAGTGATGTTGAACTCTAGGTCTTTCCTCTTCTTTCTTTAAATACTTTCAAATTCAAAATATTTCTCATCTTGTGTTTTCTTTTTATTCTCTCTCTATCTAATCTTTTACAGTATTTTCCAACCTAGAAAAATAAGTTTTTCCTCAAAATCTAAATAAATTTTCTATCTTGAAAAGAAATTCTTAATTTTTTTTTTTTCTAGCACCAAAAAATCACACAGTCTCACTCACCTTCATGATGATGTAAAAGGCGATGTAGAGCAGTAAATTCGTCAAGAAAATGATCAGAAGGTATGAGGCAAAGTCCTTAGGTGTAGAAACCATTCCATAGATTGCCAGCCCCCAGTTGGCAGCATTACCCAAGAGCAGCAGAACCATGCGATCACAGTACATCGGTCTGCACATTCCCCGCCAGTCACTTAGTTCGCTCATGAACCAGGTTTTCATACGTCCAAATACACCCAAATCTGCAAAACCAAAGAGAGAATAAAATGTGCACAAATACAAGAAAATCTACCGCATATTGCTAAACGATAAGACTTATTAAAATCACAAAACGAATAATAATAGCAATACCATTCAAAATACTCCAAGTAACAAAAACAATACCAATAACAACAGTAATAACATAAACCACCAAGGAGTGACAACCCACCACACTTCCACCTCCCCATGTAGTAAATGTTGCATGAGAGGAGGAGGCACGAAATCACGTGGATGAAGCCAAAGATGACCCAGAATAAAGTAGTCCCCGTCAGCACACCGACGACGCCCAGGACGACGGCCAACGCCAGAGCGGCAAAGGCAGCACTTGCACTGGCGTTGATGTCCGGGTGCCGCGTCTGGTAGATCTTGAGCATGGACATCACCGAGATCACGTACATGAAGGATGTGTCTGCATCGGGGGAGAAGGGAGTTGATTCAGACTAGGAAGGGATGGGCTGGAATTTTCAGTTTCTTTCTCTTTTTCTTTCTCTCTCACTATCTTCATGGGACAGTGTCATA